CGTACCGAGTTGGCCAAAGGCTTTTATTCAGCCAACCTCAGAAGGCCCTATATTATCAAAATTTTTGTTTTATTATTGCGAAATGTTACATTTCGGTACCTAGGCTTTTAATCCAGCTGATGTCCTTCGAATTGGTGTTACATATCGGTTATCCTGCCATCAAACTTTATCAGGAGTTATCCAGAATACTGGAAGACGAAATTTTAGAATCATAGAAATTCATTAACTTGACAGAAGTTTCATATTGTGCTTACATAGAGCTTCTCATGGATATATAACTTGCTGGGATGGATATTACAGTTGATCAAGATGACCACAGTTCGATGGTATAGAATCAAACGCGTTACAGGATGATAACGACTATCGATCGGCGCCGAATCGTCATAGGCCATCCAATTCGTGTCAGTGCGCAGTAAATATGTTTTGGTTCCAATCGAGCCTAAACGTCGGAACATCGGTTGTGAGTTGTGGTTTCGGTCCATCAGCTACTCAACCATGCCGATATTAGCAGCAAGGGAGCGGTTAGATCTGAGGTTCAAACTGTGATCGTTGTGTAGGAGTTTTTGCACACCAACCATTCTATTGAGCCACTAGGTAGGTGTTTCACTTCACAGTTCATGCATGGAATTGTGCCACCATCATCTTCCTATATCGTGAACTGTATTATCGGCATCATGTTGTTCGGTGTTCATTAGTTCCTTCAGATATCCTTCGGGCAGGTGGTGAATGTGTCATCAACGTAGCGCCACCGTATCCAGGGAGAAACGGCTTAGATTTGAAGACGGCGTTCTCAGTTCCGTTTCGACGGCCAGTCATCCTTTTTGATCAGACACGTCAGACAGTCTCTCCAACATTCCCGGTCCTGTGCCAGCGTTTGAACTCGGCAAAAGCAACCTAATCTGAAGCGTAATCCTTCCGTATACATGCTCCAGGCGATGCTTTACCGTCCTAGGGGTCTTCGGCCGGTCGGTTGGACAACTCTAGAAGCTCGTTTGCCCTCCTTTCTGGAAGCATTCGCAAGAGTGATCCAAGCCATCACACTTACGACTTCCCAATCTGGAAAAACAGCTGCTGTACAATAAGGATCTCTAGCAAATCCGAAATCCGGACCATGTCGAGACTCGTGAGCCCAACGATTCGTCCACTTCACCCGCGTGCACCCGGGATTGCTGCTTTTAGTCGTGGCCCATGACTGATGACCGTAGGCGCTAATCTGGATGAAAGACAACATTAACATCAAGGGCGTAGTCATCATACTCAATTTTGGATTAGTCACAATGGTTTGGGCTGGTTTACTCAGAACGCCACTGGCTTCTCCAATCATCTGGCAGATCGCTTCCTCAAATTTCCCACCATTAGAAAACAATAATCGGAAGTACTTGAACTTCTCCACATGCTTCCTGCTTTTCCGTTGATCTGAAGAAAGTAACGGGCAAGAAAACAAGAAAACACTAAACTTTACTGTCTATGATGATTCGGCGCGGGTCCGTTTAGCGCCATCGAGAGTGATTGTCAACGAGCAGTCATTTGGTGCACGTTTGAAACTATATGATTGGTCTGTGGTCATCTCGATAAACTATTTCATCCAGCGTATTACATATCAATGAAAAGCTGTTCGAAAGCGCAATACGAAGCCCCTGACAAATTTATGAATTTCATCATATTGTTCCAACTTGTAAATGCGCGAGGTCATTTTGCCATTCGTCACAAGAAGATTTTTAATCATTGTTTCTTTCCAAAGCAGAGTTAGAATGGATATTGGCCTTGTCCAATTGTTTCACAAAATTTAAACCTGAAATACAATTTAGTTTAAGGTCGAAGCTTCCTCTTAGAACAACGAAGTAAAGCAAAATGATACATTATTTACATTGTACACAATATATGACAACAATGTGCCATTTCGTAATTATGCCCTAACCCACGAAGGTAATTGAGGATATCTCTATTGTGATAGTCATTCCCTATTGATTTTTATTGCTTCGTAAATATCCTGATGTTTTTTCAACTTCACTGGTGGTTGATGATCGGCAGCAAGTTGTTCGTAGTATATTTCGTGACCCTTCAGAATTTTACGGAGACATCAATTAACTTCCATACCGACGGGTGTGACATTTCTAATTCGGTCTGAATTCGTCGATGAGCTGCTTTCCCCGTAATTGTTCTTACGGAGTTCGCTGTTGATCACCCTACGATAGAGAAACCACGTTTCTGTTGGAAAAAACGGACGTCTCCATTTCCTGAGCAATTAAAATGACTGACGTCATTGCCTTCGCACCGCCCAAGAAGAAGCTGTAATGTGTTGGCGAAGTTCAACCATGAGATTGAACATCTGCGAATGCGTTCTTCACCACATGCATCGGAGCAATTTCGAAGTCACAAGAAATCGAATTTGCATGAAGTTCCGGTACAGCTGTTCTTAACATATGAGAGATCAAGTTGTTCGCTGTTGTGTGCTTGTCTGGCCAGAGCGCGTTTACCACAGGATGGATACCACCAAACCTTTCTGCGAGCACTGTATAAACTTGATAGAATAGTGGAGACCGCGTTTTCGACTTCCTCAAGATCTGCAGGCTTCCCTTAGTGCCAAAAATCAATAATCGATTGGATCCAGGTCCACTGTCACTAA